GAACAGATTAAAGAATATTTAGATAAATTAGATATATTCAGGTTAGCAGGATCTGATGAAATTCACTCTATGGTACTTAAATGAATTGGCTGAAGCAAACTTGTTTGAGTATGTATCCGGTCAAGAGGACTGGAGCTGGGTAAACACAGTTTATTTTTAGAAAAGGGAACAAAGAGGACATGGGGAATTACAAGCCAGTCAGTCTAATTTCCAAACCTGAAAGATACTGGAACAAATAATCAAACATTCAATTTACAAGTGCCAAATAATAATTGGGTGAGAAGTAATAACCAATGGATTTGTCATGAGCAAATCATGTCAGGCCAATCTAATTTCCATCTTTGACAGGGTTAATGGGCTAATGGTTGAGGAGAAGCTGTAGATGTACCTTGGTTTTAGTAGGATTATGACATAGTTCCACATAACATTCTCATAAGCAAACTAGGAAATGTGGTATAGGTGAAATTACTATAAGGTAAGTGCACAAATGGTTGAAAATCTTATTTCAAAGACTAGTTAAGAATCATTTGCTGTTAGATCGGGAGGGCGTATCTGATGAGATCGTGGAGAGGTCTGTCCTGTGTCTGGAACAATTCAACATTTTCATTAATTACTTGGATAATGGAGTGGAGAGTGTGCCTATCAAGGGTGGGGATGACTCCAAACTGAGATGGGGTGCAAGCACTTTGGAGAGTAACATTAGAATTCAAAATCATCTTGAAAAACTGGAGAATTGGTATAAAAATCAGTAAGATAAAATTCAGAAAAGCCAAATGAAAAGTACTATGTTATGAATGAAAAATCAAATGAATGATTGTAAAATGGGGAATAACAGGCTAAACAGTGCTATTGCTGAAAAGCATCTAGGGGCAGTGGTGACTACTGGGGAGGAACACAAGGGAGCACTGGCCATGTGACGCCCCCATGTGACATCTCTGCCCCACCCCATGACAGAGAAGTGCCCATCCATTCCTGCCGGCACTCCACCCCAGGTCACACTTCTTGCCCCCATCCTGCCTCCACTCCATCCCTTCTCCCAGTCCCCTGCCCCTGCTCCAAGCCCTCCTCACCTCTTCCTATCCCTGCTCTGCTCCCCTCTCCATACTCCACCTCTTCCCCCAGAGACATGGCCTGGAAAACTAGGGGGAGCCTGATGCCAGCAGCAATCCAGCCCCAGCCTGCTCTGCTCCCTTGGCTCCCAACTTCATTGCTCTGCTTCCTGCCACTGGTGAGTGTAGGGAGCGGTTCTGCTCCTTCCCCTCAGCGATGTGGCTGGAAGCTGGCAGAGCAGAGCCGGGTGGGGCCGGGTCACTCCACTTCCCCGGTGAGTGCGGGGTGAGCTTGATGGTGCTGCCAGCGCTAGGTCCCCGCAATCTCCCAAGCTGCATTGATGGGGTAGAGAACTTGAGGGAAGGGGTGGAATTTCCCTTGCACTCACCAACAGCGGGAAGCAGAGAGATGCAGCTGGGAGCTGGGGGAGCAGTGAATGCAGGAGGGGGATCCTCTATGGTTGGTGCCAGGCTCTCCACTAATCTCCTGGGCTCTGCGGAGTCCCCCAAGCACAGGCCTGGAGTGATATTTTTTTTTTTTTGCTTAAAAACTAAAATAAAAAATCAAATGGCAATACACACTTCTGTAGCTACACACAATATTCTGTTGCCAGTTTGTTTATCCCTAGTAATTGACGTTCTACAACGGTTTTCAAAGTCCACGCATTTAGTGCTTGATGGTGGCTCTGCCACCAGCTTTGAGTATGGGCAGCAAGTTCAAGCACTGTGCCAGGAGCAGGCCAAGAACAAAAGAGCCACAGTCTGGTCCTGTATTCCCCCCAGCAAAAGGATAATAAGTAATGGCTATACAGCTGGCATAGATTATATTCCCCATCCATGCTGACTAAGCATCGGGGGAGCCCACAGACTTGCTGTGTCCCTGGGCAAGATGGGGGAGGGACCCAGCTCTGCAATCCCAGAAGGGGTGGGCCTCAAGCGGAAGGAGCAGGGCTGAAGGCAACCAGCTGCCTCAAGTGTGCTGCTCATCACTCTGATGATGGTTTAAGTCAGTGGTCACCAACCAGTCGATCCGGATCTACTGGTAGATCTTGGAGCCTCTGACAGGTGATCTTGACTGGTTTGGCCAAGAGGCTACCAAGTGTCGGAACTACAACTGCCTCCCCCCTCCCCCACTGTTGTGCATCTTCTGCCCTTTGCCTTGGAGCTGTTTCTTTCTCCCACCCTGTATTCTATCTCCACAGAACGGGGGTGAGGAGCACAACAGGGTTTGGGATGGAGGGAGTTTGCTGGCTGCTTTTGGAAGTGGTACAGGGCCAGGGAAGGGGGGAGCCTGCCTTAGCCCCACTGTACCACCACACAGGAGCCACCTGTGGTAAGCGGTGTCCAGCTGGAGCCTGCATCCTGAATCCCTGTCCCAGTCATGTACCCCTTCTTGCACGCCCAAGCCCCTGTCCTAGCTGTGAGCGCTCCTAGACCCAAACTCCCTTACAGAGTCTTACCCTGAACCCCCTTTTACACCCCAACTTCTGCCCCAGGCTCTGCTCAGAGCCTTTCAAACTCTCCAAATCCCTTAGCCCAAGACCATTGTCTGTGCCCCAACCCTCTGTCCCTGCCTGGTGAAAGTGACGGAGGATGGGGGAGGGAAGGAGGATGGAGTGGGCAGGGCCTTGAAGAAGGGGCACGAAGGAGGTGGGGCAAAAGCATTTTGGTTTGAGGTAGATCCTGGATTGCACTTAAATTCAAAAAGGGATTTTGTGCTTAAAAAGGTTGGAGACCACTGGTTAAAAGAGTCTGGAACAACGGCCACCACAGTAGCAACAGCAGAGGCCAGGAGCGTTTGGCCCTTCTGAATCATGGGGTCCCAGGGCAGCTGCCTCCTTTGCCCTCCTGTCGGGGGGCCTGCTCAGCATGTTTGGGATAGAGGACCAAGGCCCCACCCATCTACAGTGGAGAGGTCATTGCAATCCCAAACAGGCTGCTCTCTCCCTCAAGCCATCATTCACAATAAAGATGTCCTGCACAAGGGGATGCCTTCCCCCTTTTCTGCCCCATGTGGTAACTTCAAGCCCCATGTGGCCTAACTTTACTGAGACAAGAAAATTTACTTTTATACCTAATCTCCTTCTATCCCTGAAAGTTACTTTATTAAAACAGCATCACATCACTCCATATTTATTCTATTCGTATTCACCAAATAACTTTCAGGAGGTTATGGACTATTTGTGACCTGTTCCCTTTCACTACTTGTGATTTGTGTTGTGTCAAATGATATTGTGTTGTGTTCAGTGATATTTTTCTGCTTCTTGATTGGCTAACTGAAACTTTTTAAAGGTCTGATCATTAACATATTTACTCATGTAAGCAACTTCATTTACCAGAGCAGTCCTACTGTCTTCAGTAGGACTATTCACATGCAAAACTTTATTCACGTGCGTATATGCTGGCAACGCTGGTACCTAATTAGAAAATAACACATTCCTGGTATGAATTACTGGGCAAACCATCTCTTATTCTAAAACTTGCATAACTTTCTGGAATTCTCAAACATTTTAGACAAACACCTCCCTGTTGTCCATAGTAGTCATAATAGGTAGTATGTTCCCACAAAACCTAACAAAGTGATGGTTTTATTCTCAATGATGTTTGTCAATAATTTTGTTGACTATAGGGTCAGCTCTTCTGTCCTGTAATATGGACATAAAGAGCATTGTGAAATTGCAGTGCTGCACATTTAGAACATGTGAGAGGAAATGTTATTGTACACAGTATGTAGCTATCTTGTGAAATTCAGTTCGATGGGATAGAATTTGTTTATATGCTGAATTGTTGGATGTTAAGAGTTAGGCTATAACCACTAATAACATTTGTGGCTATGTGAGTTCAGATAATGAAAAAGATATCAAATCCCATGTGTTAAAGCATAAGTAGATATCGTCAGCGGTCATTGGAAGATTCCTACTTCATGTGTGGGATCGCATAAATGGCTGGCATGGGTAGGTGGGTGGTTGGCATGGGGAAGGATATGGCAGGAGGGCAGAGACACCTTTGCTCAGAAATGGCTTGCTTTGGCATCCTGCTGGAGGCAGAGGAACAAACAAGGCAAGCTTATTCAAATAATATTTTAGTAGCCTGAATACCTGATGAAAGGCAGGTCTTAATTCTTTTCAATGTAGGTCTTTCTACATTGACTGGCCAGGGAGCTTACTTATTACCAGTTCACTTGAACCCTGTGTGCTCCTCAGTGGATAAGTGCTTAGTTGGTGATGTACATAGATAAATTTTGCTGTCTATATCTTTTGAATACCCCTTTTTTTAAACTTTTCACTGTGCATTAACTTGTATTCTCCCACTCTTTCTTCCTAAAATAGGTTAAATATATATACATATTCTATTGATGAGGGTCAAACTGTCAAAGGATCTTATCTCAGTTTCAAATTGTGTAGGTAACAAAGTGAACATATGCGTTTACATGCACATTTTTGAGCATTTCACCAGCTTGGTATGGCAACACTAGCACATGTACAGACAGGTGACAGAAGTAATGTGTACAAATTCCATGTGTGCTTAGCTAATAATGCTCAAAGATGTGGACACAACTACATGAACACATGGAAATTGGCCCTTACTGTTTTGTTTTTCCTCAATACTTCAATTATCTTTAATAACATACACTTATAGTTAAGCGATCCCTTTCACTGTAGGCTGTCCTCTTTCATCTCTTGTAGTATCTCTTTACCAGCTGTTCTTTTTCAGCTAAAGATTTTGGCTAAGAATATGCATGACACAGATGGATTTAAGTTCTTTCTGGACACACTGTCTCCTAGCCTTCTATCCTTGTTTAACCCTTTCCCACACTGTCAGTTTTTACCTGGATAACCAGTTCATTAAGATCTTCCACACTTGGGAGTTTTCCTTAAATCAATTCTTTGCACCTATCTACAAAGCAGAGGATGTGAGGGAGATTCCCATGTCTGGCTCATTCTTTTTCAGGTGACAGATCTGAGGAACTGCCCCAGTCTGTGGTGTCAGTAGAGGAGGTTTTATCACAAATTGATATATTAAACAGCAATAAGTCACCAGGACCAGACAGTATTCACCCAAGTGTTCCGGAGGAACTTAAATATGAAGCTGCAGAACTCTTAACTGGTATGTAATCTATAAATCAACCTCTGTACTAGATGACTGCAGGATACATAATGTGATACTGATTTTTTAAAAAGACTCCAGAGGTGATCCTCACAATTAGCTCAGTAAGCCTAACTTCATACTAGACAAATTGCTTAAAACTATAGGAAAGAACAGAATTATTAGACACATAGATGAACACAATATAGTGGGGAATAAGGTTTTTGTAAAGGGAAATCATATCTCCCCAATATATTAGAATTCTATGAGGGAGTCAACAAACATGTGGACAGTTGCTATAATGTACTTGGACTTTTAGAAGGCCTTTGATAAGATCCCTCGCCAAAAGCTCTTAAACGAACTAAGTGACATGGGATAAGAGAGAAGGTCATCTCAGGGCTCATTATTTCTATCCTTGTTTCCTGTCTTTAAATCTTTTAAGCAATCAGTTTCCATAGTGGAGAGTGGTTACTAGCAGTGTTCTCTAAGGATCTGTACTGGGACTGTGCAGTTCAACATATTCACAGTTGATCTGGAAAGGGATAAACCTTGGGCTGACAGTTTGCAGTCCAGATGATACAAAAATTACACGAGACTGCTAAATCCAAAGCAGACTGTGAAGAATTACAAATGATCTCACAAAATGAGTTGAATTGTAGATGAAATTCAGTGTTGATAAATGCAAAGCATGCACATGGGAAGCACAATACCAACTATGCATACAAAATGATGGGGTCTAAATTATCTGTTACCACTTCAGAAAGATATCTTGGAGGTTTAGAAAATTGTGAGTGTGAAAGCGAATAAGAAAGCATTATTTATTCACTCTCATAACACAAATACAAACAGGTACCTTATCCACCGTAGCACTGGAGGAGCCCCCCAACCTTCCTACATTCTGGTCCCCCCTTATGTGTCCTTTCTCCCCAGGGTGCCAGGTCCATCCATTGCGAAGCTGGTGGTGTCTGTCCCCAGGGACAATGAAATATATAGGCAGCAGGTTTAAAACAAACAAGCAAGTGTGACTTCACACAATGCACAATACACCTGTGGAGCTCCTTGTCATAGGGTATTGTGAAGGCCAAAAGTATAACTGGCTTAAAAAAAGAATTAAATAACTTCATGGAGGATAGGTCCAGTGGCTTTTATCCAAGATCATCAGGGATGCATACTCTGGTGTCCCTAAACCTGTGACTATTGTTCTCTGTAAGCAGTGTGCTTGTGCAGCCACTTGAGAGATTTAAATGCCACCCAGCTGATTAGCAGAGCACCCACAGCTAGGTTTTTGTTTCTATTGGTAGTGCACATTTGCATGTGCTTTGGTGCACATAAAAATATATTCTGCACATGGATGGAAAAAATCTGCAAATAGATGGAAAAGACTGGAGGGAACATTGCCTGTGACTGCCAGAAGCTGGGACTGGATGACAGGGGATGGACCGCTCAATAATTGCCCTGTTTTGTTCATTCCCTCTAAAGCACCTAGCACTGGCTATTGTTGGAAGAGAGGATACTGGGCAAAATGGGCTGTTGTTCTGCCCTCATATGGAAAGATGGAGACTTCACGATGCTATTGTGAAGCTTTCTTAAAGGAAGTGGAATCGTTAAGTAGAAAGATGAGGGACATGCTCATCTTATGAAGAAGGTAGAGGAGAGGGGATGTGTTGAAGAGTTGCTGACTGGGACACATTTGCATAATTTCAGAACCTTGGATGAGTGCTGAAGGACTGCTCTGCTTTCACTTGAGGCCTCTAAACAACTATTGCTTATTATGCATATTTAAAACATGTTTGAATTCATCTGCTTTGAAATAAAAGGCTATATCTGGTTCACTAAGCTTTTGTTTTCTTTTCATAGCAGAAAAATGAGCACATTTAACTTAATAAGAAATGGAAAAGAAATTACTCTGGGCAAGTGCTTGCAATATGAAGGTCAGTAGATTTCCAACCAGGTACTTATGGTCTCCAAAGTATCTGAGCACTTCTTGGGTATTTCAAAATAGAAAATTATAATAAGTCTTTCATCCTTCCCACCCTGTGGGCGAAACAGCTTGATTAGTTTTTAGTTGTGTGTGGGGAATGTTGCTTTTCCAAAAATGATATTTTTTTTTAACATTTATGACTGGTTAACAAAAATCACCAGTAGAAATTCAGGGTTTAGAGCATAAATGGTGACCATACAATTCTGGCACTGTCTGTTATGATGATGATTGTTATTTTATAGGTAAACTTTAGATTGAAGTAAACCTGTATTACATGCTATTAAAGAGACTAGGAAAATACAATTATTTTTTAAATTGACTGTCATCCCCCACCGATCCCTGAGTGCATGTTGGTGTTTACTGTTTGAATGTTTATGGATGGAGTTAATGAAACTAAATCAGATTTTAATAAACCGGGGCATTGTGGGAGTTCTGTCAGATTGAAGTTAACTGTCTTGCTATGATTATGGATTCTGCCTAAATTAACACTGAAGGGCATTTAATGCAATATGCGCTGTATTTCTCTGGTTTGCAAGGGAATAATAAATAAACCATTTCCTCAGAGAATGTCAAAATTGTTTTATGAGAAAGAGATGATGAAAAAATTCTCAGTATCAAAAACGTAATTCTTAAAAACATTACCATTCAACAGGTTATACTCTGCCTCTTTTTTCTTTATCACTAAACCTTTAGCTTGACTGCTTTCTCTGGGCACAGTACGCCAGTGATGGTCTCACTAATGCTACATGCAGCAGAGGTAATGCATCCCTTCTGCTTCTAATGTGTATTTCTCTGTGTATACATTCAACAGTCACACTGGGAGCTCATCTTCAATTGATTGTCCCCATGACCCCAAATTGTTTATAGAGTTACTGCTTTCCTGAATATAGTCTTCCATATTTAGTCTTTTTTAATTAATGTTTAATCATTAGCCATCTTAAATAGACATGATCAATTTTCAAAATCACATTTCCATTTGACAAGCTAATTTTGGAGCTGTTCTTATTACCAATAGCCCGAAGATTAATGTAACTGAAAGAAATTAGCAAGAGAGAGCACGAATGTTTCTCTTCCCCCCCGCCCAGTTGGTTTTTTCAGCGTATTGTGTGTAGTCAGCATTGCTGTTTTTCAATGGTACATGCCTTTCCCCATGACTTGGAAGAGAGTGTTTACCATTAACAGCAAAGCAGAGCAAAAAAATCAAGTGACATTAGGCAGAAAGAGGAAGTAGAGTGGAAACTCGTGGGATAGAGGTATCAAAGAATGTTTGAGTGGTGTTCTCTGGCCCATTCAAAGATTCTTCTGTATATCAATGTAGGAGAAGACCAACACTGAGCTTTTTTTTTTTTTTTTAAGAATTAAAAATAAATAAAAGGTACCTTAAAATCCACTTTCTGATGAAGTACCCTTCAAATAGTAAGCTGACAGTGTTCCTTTAAGAATGGCAAACTACTTAAAACAATCTGGAAGTAAAGCTGGGAGAAATGGGGGGAGGGGGAATAATTGCACAGAAAAATGGATCAACCCAAAAATATTCATAAATGAGACATGAGTTTTCCAAATAGAATCAACCCCCAAAATCTTTTTGGGGCATTTAGGTTATATCTACATTACCAGGTTATTTTGAAGTAAATTATTTAAAAAAATAATTCCCAAAATAACTATTTCAAAATAAGCTTATTCCTCCGAAATAACAGGATTGGTAGTGTGGACACTCACCTTGTTATCTCAAAATAAGGGGAGTTACTTTGAAATAATTCCCCCAGTGTAGACATGTCCTTAGATGCCATTCAGGGAAGTGGTGGTGCTCTCTCACTAGGAAATTATTTCAAAATAACTTATTTCAAAATAATAACTCCCAACATAACTATTTTGAAATAGTATGTCCACTCTACAGGGAAGCCTCGAAATTAGTCTGAGACAGGCTCCCTGATTGTGGATGTGCTACCTCAACTTAGAGCCCCAGGAAGCACTGGGGAGTAGTTTGCTGCTATTTTGAAACGAGGCGCATCCACACTACTGCTATTTTGAAATAACTTATTTCAAAACAAGTGTTATTCCTCGTGGAAAGTAGGAAATAATGAGCTTGGTAGTGTGGATGCTCTGCTTCAAAATTAGGGGAGTTATTTGGAAATAACTCCCTAGCGTAGACCAGGGCTTTGAGGTTAGCCCAGTAGTTCGGAATCTTACATGGGATAAAGTATCTGGTGGCCCAATAGAGGCTAATCCTGGTGAACCGCATACAACCCGTGGCCCACTTATTGCCCACTTGTGAGCTTGATAAATCAGACTGGAAGTATGGCATAATTTTTTAAGTGAGTGCAATTAACCTTGGGAACAATTTATTAAGAGTCATGGTAGTCTCCATCAATGATTACTTTTAAAACAAGATTGGCTGGTTTCCTGAAAGATCTACTCTAGTAATTACTTTGGGGAAAATATATGGTCTGTGTTATACAGTAGATTAGACTAGATTGGGGTGAAGAACCTTTTTTGGGTTGGGGGCATTGACCCACAGAAAAATCAGTTGGGGGCCAAACAAACACAAAAACCCCTCACTGAGCTGGCCTCTAGGTGAAAAGGAGAAAAAGAAACCTGCACAGATGTGGTCCCCAACTTAAAAGCAGGGGGAAAAAAATACACTCTTCTCATTCCCTTGAAGCTCTAACCCCAGAGAAGGGGTATGGTGCTGAGGCTCAAGGCTTATCAGGGCAAAAATAATGCTTCTGGGGGTCCCAGGCCAGTAGATTTTGTGGGTTCCTCTAAGCTCTGGGATGAAAAATGAGGGGTTCAATGTGAAGGAGAAGGAACAGGTTGGGGGTGAAGGTTTAAGGTCTGGGGAGGAGGGAGGGTGCAGGAGTGGGATGAGGATTTCGTACAGGAGGGAAAATGCAGGAACAAACTTGGGTGATGTGGGGTCTAGAAGGAAGGGAGGGTTCAGAAGTGAGGTGGAGGTGTGTAGGGTGTGGGCAGGGGATTGGCAGCCTATCTGGTACAGTTCCCGGAGGGCATGGGTATCGGCAGAAATGCCCTCTCTGCA